TACTAGTAGACACAACGTGAGCCCTTATAACGAGATTGATGGCAACACACACTGGGTGATCCCCTGTACTCTGAAATCGCACCTATCCACTATCTAGAGATCTGTCGCATTAACAAGACAGCTGCTACTTCTTTTTCAGCTAAACCAACATTTAAACAACATCTTCAACTGAGCACGCCATAAGGCTGTGTATAAATAGCTACAAACCCAGTGCTACCCTTGTTGGGTCTTAATATCCAGTTACAGACCACACAAACATCCAGACACTGTTTAAGAGTCGGGACTGTTTTCAGCATGCTGGTTACGGAATAACTAGATTTTGATCCAAGGTCATTTATTCCTAAAATAGATCATATCTATGATTCAGACGCAGCAGCTATTATGACCCTATGTTGACCTGTTTAAGAGGTCCTTGTGGCTGTGAATCAGTATCATATGGGAATGCATGACAGCAATATGTGTTGTCATTCAGCCACAGAGAAAAAAATTCTCCATGAAGTTTAATCTAGCAGGCTCCAAACTCAATTCATTTTCTCAATAATGTCAAATTGATTGTATATTCTAGTACTGAAGTCTTTATTATTTTTAAAATATGGTTTAATGGTGCATTTGCTGTGAAACAACTACATTCCCCATGATTCTACATGATATCTCCACCAATCAGAGAATGAATCAGTCTCACTCTAAAATTACTTAAAAGGATGGTTAACCCAGATAAAAATAAATAAATACAAATTAATAATTAATTTACTCTTCATCATCTGGCTGTCCAAGATGTAGGTATTTTTTTTATTCTTCCGTAAAACATTAAGGGATGAACTTAGGGCATGCTCAGACTAGGTACAGTTGCCTTGAACCATGCTGAAGCGCGCTTGGCCACTTTGAGAGTCAAAAAAAAAAAAACATACAAGCATAAGAAAATTAATACTTATGGCTCCTGGCAATATACGGGTCTTTTGAATGAAACAATCAATATGTGCAATAAACTGAACAGTATTTATAGCATTACTACCTTACAAACAGCCTCTGGAAACTCAGGTTACTGTAGGAAAATGAGCATCAGCTCATATGCAAGTTTGCAGCCGTGTATACGTCCTTATTTATTTATTTATTTGACATGGACATCACAATTACACTGGACAACCAAATGCATTTAAGTGTTTTAGCAAACTTGCTAATTCTCGACACCTGTCCACAGGAGGCTTAAAAATTGGCAAAATGGAAATATAATAAAAACATATACACATTACAATTACATGCAGTTGGCTTACTTTTAGGCCTGTCATGATATCTATTTTTTGTTGCACGATATATTGCACCAAAATATATTGCAATAAACAATATTACTGTCATTTTAAGGCCATTGTATGCCACTCATTATATAATGCCAGAATGACAATATAATATCATCATAATGCAAGTACACGCTTTCAAAGAACACATACCATTTCATTCTTAAGAATACTTCATTTAACTATAGTCATTTAAATGATTGAATAATTAGGCATTGGAATCAGAAGGTGAAAACACATACCCTAAATAAATAACAAATGTTAACAACAAAGTGCAAGTAAAAGGTAACAGAGGCTGCGATATCTGCTACCAGATCTATTTTCAGTTGTCAGACATGGAAATATACTATATTAATTTATAGTATTACTATAGTGTTTTTACTGACACACTGACTCTGACACCTCCAAGAGACAGAGATGCTGCACAATCAGCTAAATTGTTGCTAGAATTAATTTTAATGTATGGCCGATTTACATACATCACCAAAAATGATTGAGCTCATGTCCATGAGTTGTGTGATATAGATTATTGTGACACGCCTGCCTATTTTTATACACCTGTAACATATTTTGGTATTATTTTGTCATGTACTGGATAAAATTAATGAAAACTTGAATTACATTAAAAAAAAATTGGATAACAAAATAATCTGCAATTACTCCCAACAAAAAACAGATAAACACACAGTAAAATGAAAACTTCTGTCATGGTTGCAACAAAAATCCAAATGTACATGAAAGGGATTTATCGCATATCACCTTATCAATGTACCTCATGTTCCTGTTTAGAACATCCTGTAATAGAACATTTTCTAGAATGTGGAGTTATATGACGCACATCATAATCAGAACAGGGCTGGTGTAAAGCTGAAATAATGGTGACTTTCTATTTATACTCAAAATGAAATTAAAGAAGTTATAGATATTGTTTAGATTTTTGATGTACATAAACTGTATTATCAAACAAAGGTAAGATTAAAAAAATAAAAAATAAGCAGATTTGGGGTTTTAACCGGGGTTTTAGACGTTGGTTTTAAACTGAATTTTGGGGTGCACCTAAAGATTGATGCAAATTACCAGATAAAATGAGTGTATATGCAGTTGTTTAAAAACAACAAATGCAAAAATGGCTCAGATGGAAACGAATTGTTCACAATAAGGCTGCACAATTTTCGAAAAATCTGATATTGCAATATTTCTTTTTTCTGAGATGAATATTGCGATACAAATGCAGTTTCACCAGATGCTTTGAATTGTTCCATTTAAAGTTTTTTCTGGAGTCTAATGGTATTCAGGTACAAAAATTAAATAATCACAATGCAAAAATGCTTTACTTGAGAGCTTATATATATATATATATATATATATATATATATATATATATATATATATATATATACACACACATATATACATACATACATACATACATACATATATATATATATATATATATATATATATATATATATATATATATATATCAAGTAAAAATATTTTATATTTTGATTTTGTTTTTTACTTTCAGAAGTATTAGGTCAAAATTATTTTAACATTTAAACGAGTAAAACAATCTGCAAACAGGTTAAGTAAATTAATCTTGTTTTCGATTTGAAATGTTGATTTTTGAACTGAAAACACGATAAATATTCTTAAATACATTACAAATCCTGCAATGTGACTATTACGAATGTGCACATTGTGATTTTGCTAAAACAATATATTGTGCAGCCCTAGTTTACAATCAGATCTACAATTATCATTTAGAAAAAGGTGTTTTTTTACTGTGTATTTTCAGAACATGCCAAATCCTGTGATGACTAATTTTAAGGGATAGTTCCACCAAATTATATACTCAACCTTTACTTGTTCCAAACCTGACTTTCTTCTCTTAAACACAAAAGAAGATACTTTGAATAAAGCTGAAAACCTGTAACCATTGACTTCAATGGTATTTGTTTTTCCTACTATAGAAGTTGATGGTTACAGGCTTTCAGCTTTCTTCAAAGTATCTTCTTTAGTGTTCAACAGAATAAAGAAACTCATAAAAGTTTGGAATCACTTGAGGGGGAGCAAATTTTCATTACTGATATAAATTTATTTAATGAGATATGATAGATATCAGGGCTCAACAATAAGGACTTCCCGATGGCCCAGGGTCAGCGTGCGAGGTGCTCAGGACAGTAGACCTGATCGTTACTGACCCGATCAGGCTAGTGCTGCCTTGTCACTAAAATTTAATTTGGCTGCGATGCAAATAGGGTGCTTTCACACCTATGCATTTGTTTCGGAAGCTGTCAAGTTTGCTCACTTAGCATAGTTTGTTTGGCATATGTAAATCTAACAATCGAGCTCAGATCCCCGGCAAATCAATTGGTCCGTGATCGCCTGAATGAGGTTGACTCTGCTCGATTGAAAAGAACTCTGGAGCGGATCGATTGTAGTGAGAAAGCAAAACGATCCAACAAACTAACGAACCAGGCTATATCCCAGTGTATTATGGTTGTGCAATAGTCATATATACAGCCATTTGAAGACAGAATTATGTGTAGGGCAATATCTCATTCCTACTGGTAAATGTGTGTTTCATGTACAATACAAAAGTAAAAGCATGCTGAAATAATCCTAAGAGCTGTTTATCCGTTAGGAAAATTGAGTGAAATTACCATCTGATCACTTTTCCATATTTTAATCGTATAATATTTTGTATGAGGCCCATTGTTTTGTTTATTTCTGCACTGACACCTCGAAAGAAAGATCAGCATTGATGTGCTTCATGATCTGACTGCAGTCTTGCTTCATCTGTTACTTCTCTCTATAATGTAAGCCTATAATGCAGAATTCTGGCCAATGCTTTCTAATAGATTAATTTAATAGATAGATTTTTATAAAACTTGACAATGAGGCTGTATGAGGAAGTCTGACCTCTCTGATTTATATTTGGCGACGATGTCTGTGGATGTCAAAATTAAAGTGCACATTTTAGCTATTGAGCTTTTGACACATTATTTAAAATTAGTGGCTAAGAAAAACCTCTTTTTTTTATATTTTGGCAGTGCAAGTGAAAATTTGAACCACTTGCCCTATCGGGCCAGTAGAAAAAATCCTTAGCATTGAACCCTCTATATACTTATGATATACTTATAAATATACATGCTATGTGGTAAACTAACAATCATGAGTTTGAACTGATTCACAGCTCAAAATAAAACAGCATTGTCTGGAATTTAGAGGTAAACAAGCAATTTACACTGAACAACATAATTAGTTCCACTTGCACCAATTTAAAGCACTCAATTTCAACCAATGACAAGCGACGGACAGTTCTAGGCACACTAACCGGATGATGCTGACGAAATGTGAGGTGTTGAGTAGTGAGTGAGTAAATTGTGACTGTGGGATGTGGGTGGTGAGAGTCACAGGGAGAGAATGGAGCGAGAGCGTGAGTGTCCGTCTCTCTCCGTGCTGAATGTGGGACGGCGTGTCCTGACTGCATCTGCACAGGGATGAATCAGTGGGTGTGTTTGTGTCACGCACGCACACGGGTGCATGTCCACTAATTTAGAAATCGCTCACGGGACATGCGGCCCTTTTCAAGTGAAGTGTGAATCACGACCGGGGGTAGAGAGGTTGTATTGGGATTCGAAGGGTGAAAAACACACCGCACATAAATAGACCTGCCATGTAGGAACTAGGAGGATGTAGTACCTGCTGCTGCAATTTTTCTTGCTTTTGATTTTTCGCTTCAAGCCATCCCTCTCTTTGTTGCTGGTGAAGGGTAACATGGAGGCATAACCGTGCTCTGCTTCTGCAAATCCAAACACAGACATTTAGAAGCTCATTAGACCACAGAGCACCTGAAAATCAAAGCCATTGATTACACATGGGATTATTGACCATTTCTTTTTGGACCCCAAGAGAAAAGAGGTTAAGCTATACATTAGAAATGGACCAATTTCTGGACAATTGTCTTGCTTTTGGGTCAATGATGTCATCTGAACTGGAGTAAACCCAATAGCCAGCCGAACCACAACAGATAGATGGGAGGGGGGATGCACCAGGAAACCCTCCACTTGAAATCAACAGCAGAGCTTGAAAATTGTATTTTCACTTACATTTAAGTGCAGAAATATGCCATCGAGCGTCTTTAAAGTAATATATGCTATATACGTTTGGGGTTTACCCCTAGAGAGCGTTAAAAACGCATTAGTGTCCCCTGTAAAAGACAAGTGTATGGTGGCTGGCCAGCACACAGTCTCAGACAGCTGAAGTGGACACTTCTCCATGTCTTTATCTTCCCCAAATGTCATAACAACGGAAAAAAACCGTCTGCAAATCAGTCATTCACCTCTAATAACTAGGTCGAAGCCCCATTATTCGTTATGGTATGCAAGCAGCATAGCAACAGTGTCATAATTCACATGCATGCAAAAAATAGTGGTTTAATGTTCATTTTATATAAAGCTATATATAGTAATTGGTCACTTTACCTCTTTCTCTTCGGTCAAGATATTCAGCTGCTTCGATCAACATCTGCAGTTTCTCGATAGCCGTCATTTTAAGCAATAAACAACGATATAAAACGACAATCCGGGTCAGATATAAACGAGGAAAAAAACAAGCAGCAGCCTTTCGTTCCTTCACGCTTCTTCCTCTTCCAGCGTTCAGAGTTTGAACAAAAATCCTGTCAGGCGAATTTACTAAATGAATTATTTTGTACAAGGCAGCGAGGGAAATGTTTAGATGTGAGGGGTGATGTTGATAAAAGATGTGTAAAAACGAATGGACAAAAAAAAATTACAAATTAACACGCTGGTTTCGAAAATGATGAATGATAAAAACCGAATAAAAATGTCCCTCAGCTGCCGAAAATAACTACAATTAACTAGTCCTGTTCATATTAAACGAGATGTTGGACATCAGTTGTTAAAACTGTGAGAAGAACACGACACGGACAACAACAGAAACCCTTCCAGGTTTGCAAAATCTGGCAACTCTTCCTGAAAGCATGTAAGTGGTGACACTCAGGAAGGTCTAAAGACTTTTATAGATGAGCTGTCTAACAGATAGGAGCTCACAGCTTTAGTTCTCTGTACTTGGTCAATTTTAGGCTCTGATAGTGACAGCAAACGCTGTTAACTAGAGAGCACCGCTGAGTCTGGAAATAAATGAGCAAAATAAAAACAATGGATTGACAGGTTAGTCAGATCGACCTGATGAGGACACTGGTTGCCAGATTGTATAGCTTGTCACACAGACAAAAAAAAAAAGTGTATTTGAGCAGCTGGTGATATTATTTGCAGAGCTTTGGTGCTGCTGTGCTGGTAGCTGGCTGGAAAACAAACAGCGTTCAACCGCAATTCTCGCTGTTGTTATAAAATAAAACGTCAATTTGATGTGCCTTTTAAGCGAGGTGGTAGGCAATAATATGCTGTATAGAATAAAAAAGAAAAAAATCTTGATTGGTCGCGGAAAAATTGTGCTGAAAATAGGTTTTAAAATGAATGCACGGCCTCCAAAAGTCCAAACAATCGCTGGTTTCGGTATTTTAAGCGTGACAAACGATCTGGCTACTTGTTAAACAGCTCGAGCTGCACGTGCTAAGCTGTAGCTGCGTGCAAATGAGGAAAACTATTCAAAAACAGGACAAAAACACGCAGCTAGCGAAACCATAACGTCGTTGAGCCAGGCAGATGAGATGTTTGCTAGCCGCTGTCATGTTACTGTACGCCTGTCAGGGGCTCTGGAGATCCTGCGAAGCTATTGGATAAACGAGAGAGGAAGCGAGCTTCTGGTTGGATGTGTTTGCTGTCAATCCAAGAGGCAGTGCCTGCTGAGGACCAATGGGCGCGCCGCATTCTTAAGCGTGAATATGTGACTGTTGTAATGCGACTCCGCAAGATAATGGTGCAACTAAGTAGCACTACAGCGCCATTTTGGAGCAAGGGTACAACCTGTACCGTAGTTTTCTGGCGTTTGCTCCTGAGCCAAAATGGATTATTATGCAAATCGTGTATTGTTGTTATGCTATGATTGGCCGGATGGCGACAGCTCTGTCGCACGTGATTGGACGCCTTTAAAGTGTTCCGGAACACATAACAGACACACCTCCATGTGTATGCTGATGGGTAAAATAACTGAACATGATTTGCCACCTTTTAAAGAGGCACAATGGAACCATTTTTATGTTTTTATTTAGCTGTTTTTACAATCAAAATTGTGTTTCAATTACAAAATTTAAGTGCACAATTGACCAAAAACACAAATCTTATTCAGAAGTTCTCATTTATTTAGTCACTGCAACATTTTCTCTAAGGATACTCAAGACAATATTAAAATGAGCTACTACAAACTAAACTGGACACTTGCATAACAGCCATTGCCTGAAAAACAAAACAGATGGGGAAAACTGATGGAGCACATATTTACATAAACTCCAGGAAGGAAAAAAACTAATGTTTTATGATGAGGCCAGTCATTAAAACGAAGGTCCTGACGACTCCATCAAGCGATGAAATCCAAAGGTCTGTTGAATCCACCTTTCCTGTTCATGTATTGCCTGCAAGAGAAATATGATTACATCATTGATCTCCTTCCTGCACCAAAACATTACATCACTGGCCACCAATGAGAGTGTTCGTCATTTAGCTGTGCAGTACCTGCAGAGGTGATTGGCCAAATACATAACTGTTGCTGGGATATTAACTTCATAAGTTACTTTTATCATAAGAACACATGAGGTTTGTGCGTATGCGAAAAATAAATCAATTACAGGAAATACAATTTAGAGAAATAATATCAAATAGAGAATCTGGGGTTCGGGCTGATGAACAATGTTAAGTGTTTAGAAAACAGATACTTTAAACACACACACACACACACACACACACACACACACACACACACACACACACACACCTGTATTTTCTCTTCTGAGAAACATTAACCGCAAATGCTTTAATAGATCCATCCTTCTTCTTGCCCTGTCGATTAAAAACAACAACAATCATACACCATACATTATGCATACAATATAAAAAAAGACACTGCATTTACTAATCAGATGGCAGAAAATACTGCAGCACACACACACACACACACACACACACACACACACACACACACACACACACACACAAATGTGACATTTCATCCTCATCTTTAATTAGATTTTTACAGGAATATTTTAAGCATAGACTCTATAAAGCTGTGCCATCTAGTGGTTATTCGCAGGAACAGCGCTGCCGGTTTCTGGAACAGTTTGTTCTTTTACCGGCTACAAAATGCAGACAGCAGCTCACGCTTTAACACGGCCAAAATATTTGACTGACATACATCTGCTGCCAATGTTTGACATAATACAAGCATGCTTAGCATACATTGACTGCCTGTGTTATTAGAAACACCTGTTCAACTGCTTAACAAAAAACACTGAACAGCCAATCACATGGCAGAAACTTAAACACATAATCAGGAAGATCTACAGAGAGTGTACAATAGAGTAAAAGGTGACTTAAGTGTCAATTGAGTGGGCTGGGCTGACTTTTTCAGAAAAAGCTGATCTACTTTTGCAGGGTTACTGCAGGTTTAACCAAGTTAAATTTGAGACCATTATGAAGGACATTTTTAGACTCATAAAGGGCTAAACGCTAAGGAATTTTTCTAATGGCCCAGGTTGAATAGTTTTTTATTTGCTGCATCAAAAAATAAATAAATATAAGAAATATATATATATATATATATATATATATATATATATATATATATATATATATATATATATATATATCCGATAATAAATTAATTGTACATTATATTAGATATTTTAAATATTGTGTAAAAGCTCTACTTGTGTCCATACACTTTTTTCCAACTTAAAAAAAAAAATGGACAGATGTTTCAAAAACTATAATAAACTAAATGTATGCACAACAGTCTGTCCAGGTCGGTGTTCGCAGCAGTAAGTACATGGAGCACTTTTAAACAAATAAAATTGTAAGAAAATAAACCATTATGATAAATAGTTAAAAGTGAAAATAAAAACAAATAAAAATTGAAAGTTTTATTGAGATAAGACTGTTGGTGATTATATGGGTGTTGGCCAGATTGGGTAGTAATACATGATCAAAGGAAAATTAAAACCTGTTTAAAAATGATTTAAGACTTACAACACAACATTTCAGAAAATTAAAGAATTTTAAAGCCTAAAAGAAATAAGACATTTTAACACTTTAAGAACCCACAGAAACCTTGTTTAGTCATGAGAAATTAATCTCTTTTCAAAAATTCTGCAGAAGATTGGTCTCTCCTTGATGGGAGTTGGCTCTTCTCATTCGCTGTAAAGATTTGGATCTTATAACTGGCTCATTTGTAAATGATGCAGCCTGTAGCACAATGATGTACTGGATCAGGTCCATATGTGAGAAGTTTTTGCTATAAACGAGAATTTTTTGTATTAGTTAATAAATTACCCATTACATTGTGTTATTAACACCAACACCTTTGCCAACCCATCAACACAAGAGGTGCCCAATCCTGTTTCTAGAGATCTACCTTCCTGCAGAGTTCAGCTCTAACACTGATGAAAAACTACTAAACCAACTAAGTAGGATCTGAAGGAGCACTTGGTAATTAATGACAGGTGTGTTTGATCAAGGTTGCAGCTGAACTCTGCAGGAAGTCAGATCTCAAGGAACAGGATTCGGCACCCCTGGTTTAAACTAACCACAATCCTCAGCCACCTCCTCACAGTTAGACCGGTCACAACAAAGACTTTTTGTTGTGCGATAAGTCAAAGAATTTTTTGCAATAAGCGATATTATAAAGATTATTTCATGCCACTAATTATATAATTATAATACAACAGTATAATGTAAAACGCAATCTAAATAGCCATAAACACCTTCAAGGGAAAAAGACTTTTCACCATTGAGGTTATTTAGATTCTGTAAATTGATGTTAAAAAGGTACGAGTATGTTAAAGGTATGTTAAAAAGGTAGATGTTAAAACATCCTATTATATATACACACACTATGACATGTCCAATTATTAATCTTGACACTGGTAAGGTAAAATGCAAATGTAACTGTAAAATAGCTTAATATTTGTGAATTTGTAAATATTTATTGCAACACTAAAAATGATTAAGGTCATCTCCAAGCATTGCATGACAAGTCAATATATTGATTATTGTGACAGGCCTACCTATAGTTACCATTAAAATCTACACCAATCCAAACCCTAAGCTAGTTATTAATGTCTACACGAACCCCAAGCCTAAACCTCCTCCTCACAGTTACTATTAACATCTGCACTAACCCCGACCCTAAACCTAGCCCTCACAGTAAGCATTCACGTTACAACGTGCACAATGAAATGGACCAGATCCAGTAAGCCATGGTGCAAGAGACTGCAGCAAGGACATCTTGTGATTTTTACAGACAACCATATCTAGGGTTGAAAGACAATGGTCAGAAAAAGAGCAGCAAAAAATGCATTGTTGATACCAGATTGGTTTGCGCTGATTAAACGGCAAAATGGACTCAAAATACCGGCAGAAAGTCTGCAGAAGAGCATCTTCTAAATGCCTAAAGAGATTACCCAATAATGAAAATCAGCTCATCATTTATTCTCCCTTATGTGGTTTTATTCCAGCTTTGTTCAAAATATCTTCTTTTGCCTTCAACAGAAGAAACTCAAATAGGTTTTGAACAAAATGTAAAGGACGGCAGGATTTTCATTTATGGATAAACTATCCCTTTCACATGTCAAACCCTGAAAGAGATGAGCTACAGCAGCAGTTAAGAGTTTGTACAAGCCCACTAAAATGTCAATAAAAGGTTATCTGGTCAGAAGAGTCCACATTTGGGTCAAAACTCAAACAAATCCATAATGCCTTGTATCAATACCTTTGGCAGAAGGTGGTTAATGGTGTGAGGAAGATTTTCTTGACATATTTTTGACCTTTATTACCAACCGAGTGTTTTTTTTTTATGTTTATATAACCTGAATGCTGAACATGCCCATCCCTTTATGAACACAGTCTTTTAAAGTCGTCATAAAAGCGGAAGTTAAGATTGCTTTTTTTTCCTATTGTGACATACATCCACTTGAAATGACCCTGAAATTAGAAAAAAATGTAGGGCAACGCATGATTTTGTTCTTTTGGGAACTAATTGGATTGTTGGAAGATGAGTGTTGCTAACAAAATTGTTGAATGGATGAAGGCAGAGCAATAAGGAGATATGCCCTGATAGATCCTCCTGAAAGACATTCCATGCGGAAAAAAAAACTAATTTAGAGGCGGGAAGGAAGGTTATGATATTTGATAAAAGTGAATGGGTCCTTCACAAAACAATGAAGTGTATATATACATCGTTTACAACAAGCACTACAATTTACAAATAATATGCACGTGTATATGGAGATGGATGAATGGATGCATAGATAGATATTGATTTAATTTGTAATTATAATCTTGTGATATTAACTTTCAGCAGGATAACACATCACGCCAGAAATCAAATAAACTCAAACTGGTTTCTTGAACATGACAGTATAAGAACTCTACACACAAATGACCTCCAGAGTCATCAAAACTCGCCAGAAAAGGAGAAAGACACTATGGACGTGCAGCTGACAAATCTGCAGCAACATGCCAATCGTCACCTTAGCATTAAAAGGCTCTATCTGACATTTTTTGTCAAAATTGAGTTATTGACATATTCTTA